ATACTTTTGAGAAAAAACATGTAATGTTTGTGTAATAAATTATCTGTATATAAAATTCATTAAATCTTTCAGCATTTAAGATTTTAAATAGCTGAATTTCTTTAAAAAGAATCACTCATAGTAGTTAAAATTATTTTATCTATATATGTTTTTGCTATTTCAGGTCAGTAGTAATTTCACTTCGTCTTCTTCCAAAACTATTTGGTACTTTTCAGCAGTTCGGGAGCAGTTATGATACACACTGGATAACAATGTAAGTACATAAAGAAACGTATTAAAGATGTTTTTCAAATATTTATAGTTATTTGTAAAGGTTTTGACTAATCTACAAGCTTTTACTCTGTACCAGGAAAATTTGAGTTTCATGTGGTTTGTTTTCTTAGATTTCTCTGCCACTTAGCCCTGTGGAGTTTATATCCTGATCAGTAGGAAAATCTGGGTTTGTTTTCTTTGTAGTTTAAGAACAGCACTTTAGCAATTAATGCTATATAATTGGGAGATTTTTAGTGTACGCAGTTATGGCAAAGTACTTTTGAGGAAGAGTCACACTAAAGTAAACTCTTGAGTGTCTTTAATTTTTTCCATTTCTAGGAATTGGCTTTAGACCTAATGTCATGTTTGGGATAATCTTGTTTACTACCCTATTGTAGGTTGAGCATGCCTAATCTGAAAAACCTAAAATCTGAAATGCTCCATAATCCAACAGTTTTAGAGCAGCAGTATGATGCTCCAAAGGGAATGTTCATTGGAGCATTTGGAGTTTGGATTTTTGAATTAGCTATGTTCAGCTGGTATGCATCCTGGAAATACTCCAGAATGTGAAAAAACCTGAAACACTTCTAGTCCCTGGCATTTTGGATAAGGAATATTCAACTCGTACTCCTTTACATTTATGGAGAACTTATGATTAATGAATGTTAAAATAACTTTTTCAAACTTTTATGTCTCATCGACCCCATATTTTCATAATAAGCCTAGAGAAAATTGTGTACCACAAACAGTACATTAAGAAAATGTGAATGCCAGATATAGTATGCACCAAAAGTAAAATAAATTAAAAAAAAAAAAAGTGTTGTTGCTTTATTAGGCAAAACTGTATGCAGGAGGGAAAAAAAAGAAAATGTGTCGTATACTTTATTCTAAATAAGCTTTTGGAGAGATTTCAGAGACAGTTGAATTTTAGGGAAAATTTGACTTGTTGAAGGATTGATTTGTGAGGTTAAGTTCTTAATTCTAAGAACTTAGGTGGCAAGAACACTTGTTTGCTTTCACAATGGAGTATCACTTTTACAGTTCTTGGAAGGCTGTACTGTAATTCCAGATTGGATGAAGTTAGTTCTTCTGAGTCATATACCTTGCTGCTGCTTGTTCTTTTAAAGGGGATGTGTTTAATGTGAACCTGAATATGTTTAATCTGAACCTTTGTTAAGTATCTTAGTCTGTTTCTTTGATTAATACTACAATTAAGAATCCAGTGAAAGTTCTATTAGTGTAAGGGAAGGTCTTTGAGCTTCCCAAGAGAGGGGTAGGGGAAAGCATTTAATATCACTAAAGAATAAGAATAGTATGAGTCCTTTATCATTGTCTCTTTCTATAATTTTTAAGTGGCTGAATTTCAAAATTCTAATGGAGTAAAGGCATTCATTTGGTGCTAACATGGGCGAGTCAGTGTCATTATAGTCAGTGGAGGTGGTTCATATTAAGAGTAACTTTCTCCTATAGAAAGGGCAGTCTCTGAATGTTCATTTACTTATGAAGTACCTGAATCTAAGTAATACTGAGTGGAAACCGTTTTAGTGTGTTCCTTAAATTAAATGTAAATAAGCTTAATTAACAAAATTCATAGGGTTGCCATTACCACAAGAGATTGTTACCCTAAGTCTCATAAAGTACATCACTTGAAAGAACTCAGCTTCTGTGGTTATTTGACATCAGTAACAACAAAAACTATCATTTATTGTGAATCTAGTATGTGTAGCAGCACTCAATATTTAGTACATATTATCTCATAAACTCATTCTAATGGCCCATAGTTTAAAATTTGGAAACTTTTATCCTTGACTCTTAGTAAATCTTCAGACATCCAGAAGTCAGTTTACTTGCCTAAAGCCATGTTGTAGCAAGTATATTGGAGCTAGTTTCAAACCCAAAGTTTTCTTTCTACCACTTTACCTTCATTTAGTGATTAGCAAGGTGAAAGTTATTTATATTTAAAATATTACTATAGCATAAACATGACATAAATTATATTTGAACTTTTAGAGTTTTAATACTTCTACATCTGTACAGTTTAGCAGATAAATTGCTAATAGGTTTTGTATGAAATACATTATGTTAATAAGGAAAGTTATGGACCCTGGGATTTCTGAATGTATATGCCACAATTTTTATTTTAGTACTTCTAGGTTATTTTACAACTCAGTGCTGGGTATTTGATTTAAAAAAAAAAAAATTTGTTTAAAAATAAGCAAATTATTGACAAAAGATATATGCAGTAAGTTTATTGTATACCTTCTATATGCCAGTATTCTGCTAAATAATGATCAAAGCACATAGTATTTCCTTATATGAAATGGTATCATGCTACTTTTAATATTAACTCAAATCAGTCATTTATAATAGCATTTTCACAGACATTGAGTATTTTGAGATTAAAAACTTGTAAAGGTACTTTAAATTCATAAAAATGAACATTGCTTTATATCTTTTCACCATTCAAATATAAATAAAAGTTGTATATTTTTTGGTAACTTTAAAATTTTACATTTGAAGACTTTTTTAGATTTGCATATTTACTGTCACAGCATAGATGTATTCTCTTACCCTGTCCACTTTAAAATTATTTTTTCTTTTATCTGGGCCAGGTGGGCAGAAAAAGAACTGAACATGATGAAGCTTTTCTTTGATAACTTGGTATACTACATTCAAACTGTGAGAGAAGGAAGGCAAAAACATGCACTGTAAGTTCCTCTCAACTGGGTTAATTACATTTGTGTGGCTTGTCTTTCCTTTGAAAGATAGATTTCCAGCATTTTAAATAATTGTAATAGAAAACTTTATTTCTATAACATTATGAAAAGTGTGCTAGAACTTTTTAAGCTGAAAGATACTTAGGAGATTACTCTTAAATTCTTAGGTAAATATAGCTGAATCACTTTTGGGGGTTAGTTAACCTTCACTATTGAGATTTGTTCAAAGGTGCCATTTTTAGAAGTCAAAAATAAAAGTATTTTTTCAGAAACCATTGATATCAATGCCGTTAGAACATTGATTCTAAAATTTGTAAATATTTACTTCAAAAATAATATATTTACATACAGCTAATTTAAAACTTTTTTTATAATTGCATTCTAGTATTAGAAAGTTTAGGATGTGTGGAAGTTTTAAAACTGGTGGTACATCATTAATGTTTTCTCATATATCAAAATATTCTCTGGATATGTTCAAGCGATTTGGGAAAAGGAATTGGTAGAAATGGACTGGTGGTGGTAGAGCTGTATTTGAAGCTTCTTATAAGGAGTTGCATGTGAAATTCAGATTTCTGCTGGTGAGCCGACTATTGTGGACTGATGTCCATGTTGAGGAAACTAGTTAAGTGCCACTACTGGCACATCAGTGAAGAAAAGGAGTCACAGAGTGATTAAGAAAATCACATAGAAAACCTCCACAAAGGTGGAAACTGAGCAGACTGTAGAAGTGTTCAGAAAAGCCTTAGACCTTTAAAGCATACTTACTCCCTTCTAAAAATAAATTTACTTATTTCCCTGCACAAATCAGTTACTTCTCCAGATTTTATTTTTACTGTGTCCTTTAGGGTGCAGCTATCCTCCTTCTTGCCTAAAACTTGAGACTTGAGACTTGTTTGTACTCTTATTTCCAAACTTGAATGATGATGATGATGATGATGATGATGATGATGATGGTGATGATGACAAGAGAGCCAGTGTTCATTGATACTTACCAATGTGCCAGATACCAACTACTTTAAGATACACAACAACCCACTTGAGACAGTCTTAACTTTACAAATGAGTATACTGAAGCTATTAAATGACAACTTGTCCAACATCACTCATAAAGAATAGAGCGAGCTTTTGTACTCACACAGTCTGTTTCTGTTATGGAATTTATGTTCATAAATGCTACATTATACTGCCATTATTTTCTACATGTCTTTTTATTAAAACATACCCCATGTCTTTTCACAAGTTGACATTCCACGAACATGACTTCTGTCTTTATAACTACCTCTGGGTTTGTCTCCTTGTCTCAGTGTTCTCATATGCTGGTTCATTCCTTATATCTGTCAAATTAGGAAGGCAATATGGTGTTGGTTGGAAGTCCATGGGCTTGAGAATCATACAGACCTAGCTCTAGGTGATTAATGTATTATTTTAATCTTATTTCAATTATTTACCCCTCTGATTCCAATTATTCATAAGTGTTTGTAATAATTTAATGAAATGATACAGTGAATCGCACCTGGCAGATAGGTTATAAATTGTAGTTACCTGATTAAAACAAATAATATAGCATATCAAACATACAAGAATTCTGTCTCTTAACCCCATCCAGAGATTTTTCATGGCATAAAAAATAAAATACCAGTCTCTTCAGCTCAGTATTCTGGGCGGGCTATGATCTAAATTCAACTAACCTTTCCAGTTTTATTGTTGAATTTTTTAAGGCAGCTTATTCTGCAAATTTATCAAATTATTTCTGAGGTATTTCTATTTACTGTATTCCATAGCTTTGCTTACAAAGTTCCCTCTATATAGGATTTTTTTTTTTTTTTTTTTTTTTGAGACCGAGTCTTGCCCTGTTGCCAGGCTGGAGTGCAGTGACATGATCTTGGCTCACTGCACTCTGCCTCCCGGGTTCAAGCAATCCTCTTGCCTCAGCCTCCCAAGTAGGTGGGACTGCAGGTGCGCACCACCACGCCTAGCTAATTTTTGTATTTTTTAGTAGAGATAGGGGTTTCACCATGTTGGCCAGGATGGTCTCAGTCTCTTGACCTTGTGATCTGTCCACCTCGGCCACCCAAAGTGCTGGGATTACAGGGGTGAGCCACCGTGCCCGGCCTGTAGGATGTATTCTTTTAAAATTACATTAAAATTCTAACTGTTCTTCCAAGTCACTGTCCTTTAATTATTCCTATTGAAGCAGAGTTTGAGGATAATGGTGGCCTGCTGAATCTGAAAATTCTGTATGTGCTTTATAAAAGTAATAGGATCGCCGGGCGCGGTGGCTCAAGCCTGTAATCCCAGCACTTTGGGAGGCCGAGGCGGGTGGATCACGAGGTCAAGAGATATAAAAATAATAGGATCAACAAAGAGCAGAAATAAAACCACATGACTTACATTTTTGTTAGGAGACGGGGAGTTCACGTTACTTGACAGCAAAGAAATAAACAATAGGTGATAAAAGAGCTCCCACCACAGTCATAAGCCTGTGGACTTGAAGAGCAGGAATGAGAGGCTTAGAGAAGGGAGTGGAAGTCATACAATGAATCATCCTCATAAAGTCCAACATTAGGCATCAAAAAGGAACATAGGTCTGAGACTTAGTTGTTCACTGCATTGACAACTGTGCAGTTACTTTGTTAGTGGAATCGGAGGTGAACAAAGCATTGCTTCTGTGGTGAAAGAGGAGTAGGGCTCCTTGGAGATGTGTTTGTTTATTTTTTGAAATGGAATTTTTCTCTTTTTGCACAGGCTGGAGTGCAGTGGCACAGTCATGGCTCCCCACAACCTCCTCCTCTCAGGTTTAAGTGATTCTCCTGCCTCAGCCTCCCAAGTAGCTGGGATTACAGACATTTGCCACTATGCCTGGCTAATTTTGTATTTTTAGTAGAGATGGGGTTTCTCCATGTTGGTCAGGCTGATTTCAAACTCCCAAACTCGGATGAGCTGCCCATCTTGGCCTCCCAAAGTGCTGGGATTACAGGTGTGAGCCACTGCGCTCGGCCTGTTTTATGTTTTGTTAGGGCATCCTAGAGTATCTTTCCAATCTTTCAATCTGCCTTACTGATTGCTGTCCTAGGAGAATAAAACCCTAGAACAGAGAGATGTTTTCTGGACTATTTGATACAATTTCCCTACTCTTTTAGGGGGTAAAACAATTGTACATTTGCTACTGTTTGTTCAAGCATACTTATTTTCATTTTTTTCAGTAGAGATTATGCCTGTAATCCCAGCACTTTGGGAGGCGAAGGTAGGCAGACACTGAGGTTCAGGGGTTCAAGACCAGCCTGGCCAACATGGTTAAACCCCGTCGCTACTAAAAATGCAAAAAAAAATAGCACCAGTAATCGCAGCTACTTGAGAGGCTGAGGCAAGGAGAATCGCTTGAACCTGGGAGGCAGAGGTTGCAGTGAGCAGAGATCACGCCACTGCACCCCAGCCTAGGCGACAGTGTGAGACTCTGTCTCAAAACAAATACACAGGAAGGTTCTGAAATTTTTCACTGAAAGAAAAAGATTCTTGTAACATGTAAGATAATACTTTTTATTTTGTAATTTTGTGTGTTTTTTGCTTTTATATTAATATTTCTTTTTTTGAGACGGAGTGTTGGCTCTTTTGCCCAGGCTTAAATGCAGTAGTAGTGTCATCTCAGCTCACTACAACCTTCCCCTCCTGGGTTCAAATGATTCTCCTGCCTCAGTCTCCCAAGTAGCTCATTATAGGCGCATGCCACTATGCCTGTGTAAGTTTCGTATTTTTAGTAGAGACAAGGTTTCAGGCAGGTTTTGAACTCTTGACCTCAGGTGATCCACCCGCCTTTGCCTTCCAAAGTGCTAGGAGTACAGGGTTGAGCCACTGCACCTGGCCAGTATCTCGTTTCTTAAAAGGACCATTTCATTTCATTTCTTTTTCTAGAGAAAACCTTGTCTGTGGAGGCTACAAAGATTTTTTTTTTTAAGGCAGTAATCTGTTACTAAAGTTTCGTATCTTTGGGGAGACTATTTTTGTCCTGTGTTTCCTGTGATGGGAGAAGCCATAGGCAGACCCATGAGAATTTGTCAATATTGATATCATCTTTGTCTGATATCTCAAGAAATTTTTCTGACTGGTGGTTTCGGCAGCTCATGGGACCCGGATGGGGCTTGCAGAGATCTTTGAAGTACAGCGTCAGGGGCCATGCTATGGGAGCTAATGCAGGGAGTGTAAAGGGACTATACCTGTGTCTTCAGGGTTACGAGTTTCTTACTCTGAGATGCAAGTATAGGGGAAGAATTATTGCAGATGTAAAGGTACTTGATGAAGGGCAAACTTTATTCCCCTTGTATGTTTATGATTGATGTTCCCTAGATGAGGCAAGAGGAATACAGTAATGTAAAATTGCAGAACTGATGGATCATAAAACTCATTTTTGAACTGATACTCAAGGCCTCTGCTACAGAATTTCTTGTTCTTTAACTTAAAAAGCCTAGAAGCCCTTAAAAGCTGTTTTTGAATTTTATCTGAATCTGAGAGTTGCTTACTAGATTTCCTTTCTGTTATATCTCGTCATACATATTTTCACTTTCACTAAGGTCAGTGCAGCATTAATGAGGCAAAAGTTCATCTTTTCTTTGCCAGCATTAATAAGAGACCTTAAAGAGCGTAAGGTATGTCCAGTGAACTCAATCTTCAGAAAACTTAAGCTTTAAAAGTTTAGTAGTGAATTTAGTGCAATTTTGGAAAGCTAATTTTGGGATGCTGTTAAAATTTTGCACTTACTTAGGGATTACAGGACATTGAATTCAAATGCGCAGGCTGGGTGCGGTGGCTCACACCTGTAATCCCAACACTTTGGGAGGCCTAGGTGGGCAGGTCACCTGAGGTCAGGAGTTCGAAACCAGCCTGGCCAATATGGTGACACCCTTTTTCTACTAAAAATAAAAAAAATTAGCTAGGTGTGGTGGAGGTGTGCCTGTAATCCCAGCTATTTGGGAGGCTGAGGCAGGAGAATCACTTGAACCCAGGAGGCAGAGGTTGTGGTGAGGCAAGATCACGCCACTGCACTCCAACCTGGGTGACAGAGCGAGACTCCATTTCCCCAGGAAAAAAAAAAAAAAAGATGCCCTTTGACCCTCTGCGTACCTAGGTTATAGATCAGAGCATAGATCACCTACTGTCTTATGTTGGCAAAGCAGTTTGTGCAGTTCATCTACAATTTGTCTTTTGGTCTATAAAATAGAGATAATAGCTTGTGATTGACTTAGTTTCATTGAGTGCTCAAGTGCTTGAACTAGAATGTGATATTATAGACACGGTTCAATATGCAGTTCACTGGGGTTGCTAAAGGAAAGGAGAATCCTTTTAAAATGCAAAACTGGGCCAGGCGTGCTGACACATGTAATCCCAGCACTTTGGGAGGCCAAGGTAGGCAGATCACTTGAGCTTAGGACTTCGAGACAGCCTGGCCAACATGGTGAAACCCCATCTCTACTGTAATAAAAATAACAAAAATTAGCTGGGTGTGGTATTGCACACCTGTAATCCTAGCTACCCTGGAGGCTAAGACACAAGAATCGCTTGAACCCAAGAGGCAGAGGTTGCAGTGAGCAGCAGTTGTGCCACTGCACTCCAGCCTGGACAACAGTGAAACTCTCTCTCTCTCTCTCTCTCTCTCTCACATACACACACACACACACTCACACTCACTTACTTTTAAAAAAGCAAGCTTGATTGCCTCTACCCCAAACATGGTCCCCTCTCCCCACTTTTTAGCACCCTTCCCTGACTTCGTTTTCCATCTACAACTCTTCTTTCTCATGTTGAGGCTGACCACATTCTGTCTCTTGTTTGTCTGTTGAGACCCATGTCCTACCCTGCCTCACTAACACTTGCTACTTTAAAAGTTTCAAAAGCAACTTTTATATTAAGCATCAAATTTCATACATGTGAATTACAATTATTTTAGATTTGAAATAATATTTAAAAGTGCCAGTTTTGTATCAGCTATATTTTTCATGAACTGGATTTATAGAAATATTATTAGTGTTTCTTGATAAAGAATATATTACCACTATAGGGACCATAATATGAAACCTGCACTATTTAAGAAGAGGTTGTTTTTTGTTGGCTATTCTAATTTATGTGCATATACATACTTTTAAAATGACATACTTCCTTTGCTTGGCTGTTGAATTTGTATGTACCTTCATGTAATTTGAAAGTAAATTTTGTTATAGTTTCAAGATTTACATAATTTATTAGTTTAAATTTGTTTCTTGTCTTTATGAACTTTTTTTGTGTAACTAAAGTTACATAGTTAAAATAATTCTGAATTATTTTAAAACAATTTTTGGTATAAGTTACGCATAGGACCACTAAAGTTTTAAAAATAATTAAGAAATAGGATATTTAATTATTTTAATGACTTTTAAATTATAGGTACAGCCATAGTGCTGAAGTTCAAGTTCGACTTCAATTCCTGACTTGTGTATTTTCAACTCTGGGATCACCTGATCATTTCAGTAAGTTTTTTAATCAGTATATTTTAAAATCTGTTTTGACTCTCGGGAGAACTAGTTAAATTTACTCACACTTCGGATTTCTGCAGTGTGGTTTTTTTTTTTGTTTGTTTTTTTGAAGTCAGTGGGTACATGTATGTTTGTTACAGGGTTTATTGCATGCTGGTGAGGATTGGGCTTTTTGTGTACCCGTTACTCAAAGAGTTAACATTTGAGTAATAGATTGAGTAATCTACCCGATAGCTTATTTTTCAACCCTTGTCCCGCTCCTGCCATATCTGCTTTTGGAGATGTCTGTTAGTTCCATCTTTATGTCCGTGTGTACCTATTGTTTAGTTCCTGCTTACAAGTAAGAATGCATGATATTTGGTTTTTTGTTTCTGAGTTAGTTCACTTAGAATAATGGAATAATGACCTCCAGCTCCATTTTTATTACTGCAAAGGACATGATTTCGTTCTTTTTTTATAGCTACTGGAGTGATTATTCTTAATACATTTACAAATTATACCAACATTCAGATAATTTATTAAAATAATTGAGGTTGTTTGCATTTTAAATAAACTAAAAAATTTTTTTTTGTTCTATAAGACCTTTTCTCTCTCTCGCTTTTTTTTTTTCTTTTTTGAGACAGGGTCTCACTGTCTCTCAGGCTGGAGTCCGGTGGTGTGATTACAGCCCATTGCAGCTGTTGACCTCCCCAGCTCAAGCAGTCATCCCACCTTAACCTCCTGAGTAACTGGAACTGTGCATCACCACACACAGCTAATTTTTAAAAAATTGGCATAGAGCTAGGGTTTCACTCTGTTTATCTAGGCTGGTCTTGAACTCATGGGCTCAGACAGTCCTGTCTTGGCCTCCCAAAGTGGTAGGATTACCAGCATGAGTCAGTGCACCTGGCTGACTGCATCTTTTATTATTTTTGCCTATAAAATCTTGCTTTCCCTTTGGTTGGAGATAGGTATTGTTTATTATTTATCATGGCCAATCTTTTGAAAATTACTTGGCTTTATGGGTGGTAGAGACACTTGGAGGCCCCAGGTTTATTTAGTTTCGCTTTAAACT